GCTTTTTTATTTCCTACTGTGTTTTGTAATAATTTTGGTGCTACGTTGAAAACTTCGAGAAAAACTTCATTGATTCACCATATATTCACCATGCATCTGCATCATAAAAAGACAAACGGGGACAACAACTAATTGATAATCAATTTATCACTGGACTAGATTCCGAAATCATTTTTCACATAAGAGAGTAATACCACCATCTGTATTTGGAAGGAAAATACCTATTTATCATTGAATGAATAGTTAAAAGGATTCACGTTTTAATACAATACCTATATTACATTTGTCCTCAGTTAAAAAGACATTTATAAAATATATAACTTTAGTGTTAATAAAATGTAATATCCTAGTCTCTACTTCCCATTTAAATTATTGATAGGTATTTTAAAGATTTGAGATTATATATCTATTTGCTCCAAGTAAGTATTTGTTAAATATGTATTATTATTTGTATTTATTTTTATCTAATAATATTTATTTAATTTATTAATAAACATATTTTAAGAATGTTCTATTTTATTATTTATTGATATATCTTATATTTATTTAATAAAAATATGCAGAACCAACTCTCCACATTAGACCCCTTATAACAAATTAATTCTTCAAATTTGGTATAATCGACCTAAATTATTTTGTAAAATAAAAGTTTCGAACTTACTAGTTCCATACTTTATTTTATAAAATAATTTATGTGGAAATCATTTAAAATTTAATTTAAAACTACTACCTACTCCTAAAAATTACAATTTGAATTTACCGCCATCTGTCAATTGTCATTTTAGTTCCAGCTCCAAACACAAGGTGGCGCTAATTTGGTTTAAACGTTTAACATTGGCGTGGGGTCTCTAGAAGATACATGCTTTGTGGTTTTAGCCTTGATTTTACTGAATTTGTTAATGATTTTAATACATCTTTTCCTTCATCAGTAATTAAATTGTTTTCAAAACTTGTGAGTTTCATTAAAATTCCTCTTGTTAGTGGTATTATCAAGGAAGAAGTTATAAAATGCTCGCCCGAAACTGTTGTTGTAGCCAGTTCAAAAGGTTCAAGAAGTTTGAGTATCTCATCTATTGCTTCAAAGTTTTCAGCGGTCAGCGTTGGTGGAGCCCTTGGACATTCATTCATCGCTATTACCAATTCAGTACGTATCATAGAAATTCTTTTCAGCATGAAAAAAGAGCTATTCCATCTAGTTTCGACTTCTTGTACTAGTTTAAGTTCCGGTTTACCTGATCTCTTTTGAATCCTACGCAATGTGTCACTTGCCAATGTACTGCTGCGAAAGAATGTCGCAATAGCCTTACATTTAGACAATATTTTTTCAAATGACTACTTTAAAGGAGTCTTGCACTGACAAATTCAGACTATGAGCAAAGCATGGCAAATGTCGAAGTCGTAAATTGCTTGCAGTTTTTACCATACTTGCAGCATTGTCTGTAACTATAGCCACTATCTTATCACGAATATGATAGTCAACAAGTATCGCGTTGATAGCCTGCAACAAAAAATAAACTATAGAATAATGATACTGTAAGAATAGTTGTATATAATTTATATATACCTGTGCCATTGTTTCAGCATTGTGACTTCCTTCAATTTTCATTACCCTCAATAAAGGTGATACTAATTTTCCTTCTTGAGTATAATGCCATGTCACTGCTAATGTGCTAATATTCCCTCATTCGATGCACTTGACCACATATCTGTTGTAATGCTAACAAAATTACAATCTGACAGTTCCATTGACAATTTGTTTTTTAGTTTTGAATAATAGTTAGGGACTAAAGATGTTTTGAGGGTCTCTCTATGGGGTCTCTCCATTATAAACACGGCAACGCTGTCTCTAAAATTGGGTCATTTTTAAAGAGTAACCGATTGAGAAAACATTGGCAATTGGCATCTTACTTTAATATTGGTCGTTGAACAAAGACGCAAATACACTGAGTGCACACTTTTCATGTGAAAGGCCACTCGACTCGACGGCCGGCGCGGGTACATGTTTCGACTATCGATAGTTCTTTATAAAACTATCGATTGTTCCGATAGTTGATTTACTATCGATATACTATTGATGTTTAAGCAACACTATTACCACAAAGCATGTATCTTCTAGAGACCCCACGCCAATGTTAAACTTTTAAACCAAATTAGCGCCACCTTGTGTTTGGAGCTGGAACTAAAATGACAATTGACAGATGGCGGTAAATTCAAATTGTAATTTTTAGGAGTAGGTAGTAGTTTTAAATTAAATTTTAAATGATTTCCACATAAATTATTTTATAAAATAAAGTATGGAACTAGTAAGTTCGAAACTTTTATTTTACAAAATAATTTAGGTCGATTATACCAAATTTGAAGAATTAATTTGTTATAAGGGGTCTATTGTGGAGTTTGTTCTGCATATTTTTATTAAATAAATATATCAATAAATAATAAAATAGAACATTCTTAAAATATGTTTATTAATAAATTAAATAAATATTATTAGATAAAAATAAATACAAATAATAATACATATTTAACGAATACTTACTTGGAGCAAATAGATATATAATCTCAAATCTTTAAAATACCTATCAATAATGTAAATGTGAATAAGTAGAGACTAGGATATTACATTTTAATAACACTAAAGTTATATATTTTATAAATGTCTTTTTAACTGAGGACAAATGTAATATAGGTATTGTATTAAAAGGTGAATTCTTTTAACTATTCATTCAATGATAAATAGGTATTTTCCTTCCAAATACAGATGGTGATACAGATTTCGGAATCTAGTCCAGTGATAAATTGATTATCAATTAATTGTTGTCCCCGTTTGTCTTTTTATGATGCAGATGCATGGTGAATATATGGTGAATCAATGAAGTTTTTCTCGAAGTTTTCAACGTAGCACCAAAATTATTGCAAAACAGTAGGAAATAAAAAAGCGAAACATCACAATTTTGCAAATAACCAAGACGAAACTATAAACAGAAACCAAAAGCCAAAGCCAACAAAAAATCACTAAAACCAGACGGAAAAATGAAACTAACCAAGAACATAAATAAACAGTGTTGCCAATACCCAAACTTGAAATTATACGGTGGCCAGGTACAAAAGATACGCAATTTTATACGCCTTTGTAGATTTACCTTTGCAGCCACATCTTTGCATTTGAGGATATCAAATTTGTGTTGCTGCCAGGTTTTTGAGATCGGGCACTACCGACAGAATAAATGAAGCAATGTAGATTCGTTCAGACAGACTGCCAAAAGTTCCCAAGTGCATTTCAACAATACGAACAATATCAGTTCGGTGAATCCCCGGCTCCGGGCCTGTTTTCATTGGTCAATGACATGGAGTGTGGCGTTCTCTAAAATAAGCAGTCAAGTACCAGTCAGCCACTGTTTAATACAATTTCTTAAGAGAGGTATAGTTAAGTAACCCTTAAATCATAAGTGACCCTTAAATGCGGAGGCGTTGCACCGAACGAATGATTCCTTAACTTTACTAATCCAGCAAACCCCGCGTAGAGGCTAGATTTTCTGGTGACTTCTAGGGATTGTTTGTTGATTATCCTTATAACTTGACGATTTTAACCTAATATTTTTGGTTCATGGTCTAAATCGTGCTAGAAGTTTTGTTGATTTTCTACATATTTATATACTGTTTGATTTTGTCCGATAATTTCAAATATTTTTTTTTAAATAATTAAAAAAGGTTAATTTTTTTCAACGATGGCAACAAAGAAGTTGGTTAATTGGCGACACACAATTGGTTTCTAAAAATAAAAAAAATCACTTCATATCGACTGGTTGTAAAACATAAACTTAGGTGCCTACCTATCATTAGGGTATTTCAGATCTACTTCTATTTGTTCCAACAGATGTAAAACTGTTTCTCTATAGAGCCTAAACCGTTTGAAAAATGAGAATATTCATTTCTTCAAAATAATTTGATCTCTCATAAAGACGCCTAGGAAATCCGAAATTTATTAAATCTACAATATCTTGATAGTCGTTAAGCAATTGTAAATTAGCTGGATTCATATAAATTCTTTTCGCAAACAAACACTATTTTCTAAAGAAATAATTAACAATGTAAATATAAATACCACCATTAGGTTGTTTCAATACTGGCAATGGGTGGGATCCTTCTACCATCAAGATCTCAACGAAACAAGTACTTTGTGTCAAATACTTACTAAAGAAGCTATAAAGCCTGCAAATTTGGCCGCTTTAATAGGAAACCCTTAAGGTTGGAATAAGTGGTACTTAAACATCGGTGCAACGAGTTTCGTATACTTAAGTATAATTGTCGGTGCAAATGGCCATGAAACAACTTAATTGTCAAAATAAACTTAGGAATCTCTAAACTTATTCCTAAAATAAATGGAAATCTAGAAAGATCCATAGTTTTTCCCAGAATGTACGGAAATTATACGGAATTTCAAAGAGTTAGAAAAAGATACGCTGGCAAGTCAGAATATACGAAAATCGTATAATTATACGCAAATTGGCAACACTGTAAATAAATACACGTCACATCTTTGGAGTCTTCCCATAAGGCTTAAAAATGGAGTAAGAAATCAGAATTTCACCAGTAGCCCCATCTAGAGTTTGGAGCAAATAGCATAAAAAATGTCAGTTGTCGGTTTTGACCTTGGTCATTCACGTGGAACCTCTATGTGCTTTGTGACTATTACCAAACAAATGAATTACCAGTGGGCAGGTTTGGTATATCTAAGGGTGGCGATATATGGTGTATTCTATCTACTTTACGTAAAATCATGAATAATGGATTACATTTAAATATTTTATGTCGAACACAATAAAAATAATATTTAAAAAACCCACCTATACATTTCTTCATAAATTGGCAGGCTTGGCGAGTACTACTTCGAATAAAAATAGCGTCCAAGTTGCAAGACTATGCCGCTACCCCCTTAAATATACAAGAATTTCCCACTGGCACCTATTATTTGACAGGTCGTTGGAATGCCTAATTCTAGACGTCTCAATGACGCATGACATAAATCATAATGATATAAATAAGCTGTGATCATAATTCAAATTAACAAAACTAAAATATGTCGTCAGTACTATTTTCTTTACCAGAATTTTTTAATTCTTATAAAATATGGGTAAGCAAAAATCCCAATACTTTAGGCGATTGGGAGAGCACCGTGAAGTGGATATCTTACTTTTTAGCAGGTAATTTATTACTAGGTTTAAGACTTCTTTCACTTCATCCCAGACATTTTTTTAGGAAGAATAAACAATTCTCAAATACTTTCGGAGTTAATATATTGTCTTTCCAATCTGTTGGTTATGTTTAATGACCGAATTATTAAAAAAGCAAACCATCTTGAAATTAATACCAGTGCTGAAAAAATTAAGTTATGGCTAACTGTAATTGAATATTCTGAAGTCTTTTGTGAGTTATCTGCAAGCAAACTTTGGGGTACTACTGGAAAATGGGTTATTATTGTATGTATACAAGTTTTAAAGTAAGCCATAATATCATAATTTATAAGTATTCAATATTATTTGAATGATTTAATTTCAGATGCATATCAAGACTATTTCTTATCTTCCATTTCAAAGAGCCAATTATTCAGAATCCTCCTATTCCAGTCCTAGATAGGAAAAATATGACAATTTGCAAAGAGGATTATACAGAGAGAAATATAACTCCAACCAATTTTGATTCTGTAACATTTACTTTAAAAAGATCAGGGAGAGTAGTGAGAAAAATGGATTCTTCTCCACCAATAGGTTGGTATATAACAAGCTCCAGTGATCTTGTAGGGTCTGGAAATGGGCCTGTCTGCACCATTCCTGTTCTGACAGTTGGAATTGTTACATATAGTTTCCAGGTTGTTTAATTATTTGGAACCAGAGAATAAGCATATTGAAATAACTATTTTACTTTTAATTATCTATTTACCAATGTTCTGAAGATTTTCAAGTAATAGGATCGTTATTGTTAATGTCAATAATACCTTTCAATAGTGAATTACAAAATTCAAATTTGATTCAAATTCTAGACATCAGTACAGAGTGGTGTGAATAAGTGCATTTCTAGACCCAAGATTACCCATGCTCCATACCTGAATAATGAACAGAGGCTCTGGTAAGATGCTCTGTATTTTGTAAAAATAACATTTTTCGAAAAGTTTTATAATATTTTAAGAGCTTAAAAATATGGTGAGATTGGTTTTGGAAAAAAGCTTTAAAAAACTGAGGTGCTCTGCTGACTTCGTTCGAAGCTAGCAGAGCACCTTGATTTTTGCAAAAAACGACGAGCATACAATTTTTGAATAGGGTATAAAAATAGCCTAAAAATGTGGCATATGTTTCAACTCAGAATTCCCAAGGTGCTTTGCTGCCTTCTTTGGCATTCTGGTAAGTTATAATAAAGATTGTGAACATATATTTGTTTTATAGTTGGAAGAGATTGGAAACCCTTACCAAAAGCTTCATTCTTTACGAAAAATCAAAATACAATTGATGCTACTCTAGCAACAAATAAAATTGCAGAAACTGTATACATAGCCAAACCCCTTGTACATTTAGCCACAATGGCTTGTTTTGGAACAAAAACTTGGAAATCTTGGACTATATCTTTGGCCTTAGACATAGTTAGGTAGGATAAAATTTAAATGTCTTAATTGGCAAATAATACATTCTCCTTATATCTATAATACTTTTATACTTGTTTTGCAGTTTGGAAATGTACAGATCATCTACCAAGAAAAATACCCATAATTTGACACCACAACAGCGTTTGCAGATTTCAAAAAGAACTATTTTAATGTTGTTATATCTTTTGAGATCACCTATGTATGATAGATATAGTAAAGACAAAGTACATTCCTTCTTAATGGTACTCAGTAAAATACCGGTAGCAGGTTTAGTTTGTACACCTTTAGCTCAGTATCTGCCTTTTTGGCAAAGTACCTACTTCTATATGTGGTCTACATAAATATAGGTTAAGTTTAAGGGAAAATGGGTTTGTTTTGTAATAATGTTACTTTTTCAGTATATAACTTTTATTTTGTCACAATTTTTACCATTCCTAAAATCTGTACAATAATAATTGATATTCTCCTTAAAAAATATTATTTTTATGTAGGTAGATACTGTTTTTAAACTAAGAGGAGATTACCATGAAGAGATGAATTCCGAAGTATTTTAGAAAAAACTAACAACTTTAATATTGATTTTTTAAAACTAAAAATTGATAATTTCTAACCAAAATGATTAAAATGTATCTAAATATTCAAGTAAATTTTATTTATTAGAAAAGAATAAAACCATTTACAAAATTCATAAAACATTTAAAACACCATTTACTACTTTAGGGATAATCTTAATTTAGCAAAATGAGTTAACATTACTTTCACAAAAAAATATTTTAAAAATACTTAAAATTAATACATAGGTATGTATGAATAGTTCATTTTAAAAAATATATGTTGATGACATGTGATGTTATGAAAATGTTGGACTCATAGGCCTGAATGCCTTTATTTGCCCTTTAGCGTATTAACCATGGGTTAACACTAAATAAGCCATAATATCCACATTACTCATAGATAGGAGAGATACCAGTTACTGTGTGATCACTTGTCATTCACTGATTAACTTTTACTTTTTATACCTATAACAAAAATATCCTTAAAAATAATGTAAACAGACCAGATTTTTATATTTTATACTAACCTAGCTACATCTGGATATTCTATTAACAATTTTTTAAAATATTTAATATCCATTTTAAACAGATCATAGTTATTCTCAAAAAGTCGATTTCAAAAGCAAGAAAAAAGTATTTCTGATATCAATCAACAACCATATTGAATTTTATTTGACAGTGACAGTTCGTTTTAGACACACATTTCAGATCACAATAATGTCAAATTTGCGACCGTTGTCTGGGACCAATAAAAAAATGACTTTTATGACATTTATTCGTTTCTTAACCGCTCATTGGCAGTTCACCGACTAGATAACTATTTCATAAATTTTGAACACGACTATATTTCGAAACACGCTCTTAGTAACAAATCTAGTTACTTTTCCCTGTGTAAATGCGTCTTTTCAATTTGCTCCTCCTAGTTTAAAAACAGATTACAATCCGAGAATAACGATCAAGGAGAAGCGACAGTAGCTGTCGGTGCCTTTGATATCGGATGTACCTTTTTCACAGCATGACTTTGATTGATACACAACTTAGCACGCTGAGAAAACATGCTTATTTTCTACACTGAGCGAAATAGTTTGGCAAATTATCTGAAATCATTGTTATAGTCCATGCGCAAATATTGTAATGTGATTTAATTACATTGAAGTAGTTAGGGTTAATAGCAATGGTGAAATTTCGGCACCAAAATATAATTCATTATATAATAATTAATTATTTATTATAAAAGTAAAAGACGTTTATAATTTATCTATAAAATTTGTTCAATATTTGGTTTATTTATTGTTAAAAATGTAATAAAAGCCCCATATTTAAATTAAATTACCTTTTCCTTAAGTAAAAATAAGGTAAATAAAATTAAGGGTGCCAAAAAAAATTTAGGTAACAATTAAAATGACATTAAGTTTGAGATATTTAACTAAATATTTGCAATGTGCTTATATTTTCAAAAACTTTTAGGTTTAAAAAGTAGTTACATATTTTTAGAATTTCTGGATTTATATTATATTAAAAGGACTTTCAAGTTTATCACTCATTTCTGTATAAACAAGTGTTTTCTCGCCAAGTTAAGCCAGATGTCATTTGAGGTTTATGTATTTAGAGTTAAATACCTGGCCTGGCTATCACCCAGACAATACAAATATGTCCATTGGACGTCCATTCGATATACAATTTTGGATGATGAATGAGTTTTTTCTGGACTTCCGACATCCAATAGACGTCCAGTGAAGTATACAAATGGAACACTTTTGACCATTCAGAGGACGTTCAATTCTGGAATATATTTGGACGTCGAATACTGAACATTCAAAAAACGTCCAGGATTATATTTCCATTGAGACCACGTCCCCACTTTTTTTACAGAACCGCAACTTACCATACACTATTTTATATTATTAATAATTTGTTTATTATTTTCGCAAACCGCCCCAACAAACAATAAATTGCCGGGATATTGCTGGCCTTTTGCTGTAATTGAAGGGAAAATGAATGCGAATATTAAAAGATAAAAGCCTACTTTTGGCCTTTCGATAGTGGCCCAGCATTATGTTGCTTGATGATGGCCTTATGAAGAGTAAGTAACTGTATTGAGTAAAAGCATGGTAAAAGTCAAAAGGTTTTTAACTGCCGCAAACAGTCCAGGAGGACCCGATCCCGCGTTCATAGATGGAGACACCGATGATCGCTTGTTACATACTCAACGAGTGGACATGCGGGCCAGTCTCGTATTGCTGGTATTCAGAATTCATTGTAATTTTTTACTTTTACATGTTAATTTAGAATATTTTATTAATAATTTTTTTGAAGAAGACATTTTTTTAGTATTATCATATTATATAGCTGAATTAAATAATATTTCTACAATATTCTATATTGAAATGCCTTCTGTTTTTGTATAGATATTATAGTTCAAACGGTGTACTACTAGTCAAAGGACACTATTGAATATCCTGTGATCATGTTCCTGACACATGGCCTTTATTAATATGGTAAAAGGACAGCAATTTCCCGTTAACTTCCCATCAATAGGCCATTAATTGCCAAAATATTTATTTCTAGACATTAAAGGGGAAATGAAGGCCCATTAATTGATTATGATGGCAAAGTGACTTCGGCCCGACTGTCGGCCGTAGTGACCTATATATGCCGGCCTTTTAATTAAAAAAGTCAAATGGCCATCAGGACGGTGACAGTTATTAGGCCTTTACTTCCCCTACACAAAATATTTGTTGGGTCTATACACCATTTATTTTTTTTTATTAAAAATCGCTTGACCTGAGCAGGCATCGAACTCACGGCACATCCATTATCGTTTTACCCTTTCAATCGCTAGACGAGCTCGACCAAGGAACCACTTGAAAACTGTTTACTAGATACAGTTAATAATTGAATAAGATTTCAAACTTCCGCTGATAGAATGAAATGCAATAGATTCAAGTTGTCAATTTTTAATGACCAGTTATATTAAAAAAAGAAGTATATATTATAGATGAGTATTATCTGGTAGGCTTAATAAATAATGACCTAAGATGGACGTCCACTGGACGTCAAAATACTACTAAACTTAAAATTAAGTCCAAAAACAGACGTTCTCTGGGTATCAATATTCAGCTGTCAATTTAATTAGCATAAACGGACGTACACTGGATGCCCGGATATGGACGTCCTGACCCTCAAATAGATCTAAAGTGGACGTCCATTGGACTATGTGTAAATATGAATGGGCAAAACATCTTTATATTGACATAATTGTAACTTACAATTTAGCTATAATAAAGGGATTTCGTCCACTTTGACCAATCCTAATTGAAACACGCGGATTTATTATATTTTTTTAAATATAATTTCAAAATAAAATAAACAAAATCTGCAGTTCATTATTTATTAAATTTATTTAAAAGAAGAAAACATATATTTCACAAAATATAATACCTACATATGAAAAATAAAATGTCAAAAATGATTAAATCATTATACTTAATATTTATGCATGTGATAAAATTCTTAGTTTCCTAGTAACTTTTTTGGCACATTTTATATCTGCATTAGAATACCTAAGTGTGTAAAAATCTTCATCTTATTACTACACAAAACAAACACCAAAAAATATCACTTAACATTGCTCACGTACTAAACACAACTTTGACTGACCTTGACAGATAACATCATTTTGAGTGATACACAACTTATTTTCGCACATGCGCGTTAAAAAACAGTACACTAAAAACACCAAGCTGTCGCTTCTCCTTGATCGTTATTCTCGGGTATAGTCATATAAGATTTATGAGGATAATTATTAAGAAGGTAGTATTGATTTAAAAATGATGGTTATTTACTATTTAAAAAAATGGCATTTATTCTTACCAAAACTGACTAGCTTGAGTTATGCACATATGAACACTAAAATATGTGTTTGCACACCTTACTTCACCTGTGAAATTCTAGTGTCATTCACATGTGATTTAGGGTCTTTAAGCGATTTCAATGTTTTATAGGTAAAAAGTGAAATATATTTTTTATATGTAAATACTTTGTTATTCATACAAAATTCTTTCATTATACATTGACTGAATCCGTGGAATGAAAAAAATAAAAAATAGCCTTTTAAAAAAATTATATTTTCAAAAACCACTGACAATAATTCTAAAAATATCTGTTTAACAGCAAGATTCTTATAAATGCTCATAGATAACGCTAGCATACTAATTTACAATATATAAAATTGACATATTTTAACAAATTATAACTCGAGAACGGAAAAGATTGACATGTAGTCTTCACTAGACTTTCTATATGTACGTAAAGTTTTTATTGTTACATGTAATTTTTTCTGGAAAGTGCCGAAAAAAACTTTTGAACCAAAATTGTGAGTTTACTTTAAATAGAACACCCTATAATTTTTAACATACTCGGAAAGACCATTTTTCCCCCTTTCCAAAAATGTATACATTGGTAAGTATTTAGAGAAACGTTTACTTTTTTATGAAACCATGTCAATAACTTACGAACGTAAAGTATCACAATTTAATAGCTTATAACCCGAGAAGTCTCAAATGTCTAAAATATTCGTAAAAAACTACATTTTCCAATCCAGATTAAGGACTTATGGCGAATGAAATACTTTGTATTTGTAATGTTTATTTGCAAGTCTTTATGCGTAAATCATCATTTAAAAGAATATCTTGAGCATTTTTAATATGTATATATTTTTCTTTTCTATTTTTGTAATTTTCCTGTTTTTATAAATAGGCCTTTTCACCATAAGACGAGCGCAAGCGTAGGCGCCATGTTGAAATGGCGGTAGTTCAAAAGATTCGTACGGTTTTGATCAACAATGGCTGGGAAAGGGATATTATCTCCAAAAATTAATAAATTATTAGAAACAACCATCGATGGTGCTTCACTTATTTATGATTCAGTTGAAGCTCATAATTGTGAACAATTGAGAAGGTGGCTAAAATGTTATGGACGACCGCAAAAAGGGAAAAAGGGAGCTGATTGAGAGGTTAGACATCGATATTTGTTTACTATCTAAAAACTTATAAAAAAAATAATAGTTACATTTTTATTGTAATTAATAATGTCAATTCATTCACAGTATTTGAAAAAACATTTTAGTTAATGTGAGAATTACTGATGGAAATAATTAATAAAATAAATCATTAATATTTTGAGGCTATACATGGCATTATTAATTAGACAATTTCAAATACAGAATTTTATATGTTGAGTCGTTGTGATTATAAATAAAATTTTTAATATGAACTAATATATAAAAAATTTATGAAATTTACAGAGTCAAAAATGCCATTAGGAACAATGTACCAGTGGACCAAACTGTTGACGAAGGAAAATGGCAAAATATCTTAAGTACACACAATCAAAGTCCAAATCTTTTGCGAAGTCAAATAATAAATTATCCTAACATTTGGCAACCATTTCCTTCAGGGTTCGAAAATATCATGATATTTATATAAATAT